ATGATGGTTGATGTCCACAGGGGCAACGAGCTCGCGTGTTTGAGTACGCCTAGTTTCGTGGAGCGTCTCAAAGAACTTCTCATACTGCTCCTGGAGGACCTCATTCTTCATTGCTATCTTGTTGCTCTGAGCTTCTAGGTCATTAACTTTAGCTTGAAGAGCAACCCTCTTTCCTTCCTTCTTTCATTGCTTCGCACTAGGTGTAAGAAGGGTGTCATTCTGTGTGATGTGGCTTCCTTCGCTCCCCATGTTGGAGTGGGATGCCTGTCAAAAGAGAGTGTACGAATGGTGGAAATCAGCTTGGCAAAGCTGAAGAGAATGGGAATAAGTGTCGTTCCCACAAACGACGCTAAATGTTGATGCACAAAATTAGTGAGGACTTTGGTACAACAGAAAGTGTTAAGTTTGTGACCTTCGCTAGATTACTTCGGTCACTAGTGTGGATAAGTATGTAAATGAATAGAGACAGGGAAGCAAACATAAGATGTACGTGGTTCACCCAGATTAGCTACGTCCACGGAGTAGAGGAGTTCTCATTAATTGTGAAGGGTTTACACAAGTACATAGGTTCAAGCTCTCATTTAGTGAGTACAAGTGAATTATTTAGTACAAATGACATTCGAAAATATTGTGAGAGAATGATCTCTATTTATAGAAGAGAGTTTCTAGTTTCATTCTGACATTGACACGTGTCGTGTTGTGATTGGCTTCTGATGTTGACATGTGTCGCGCTATGATTGGCTTCTGATGTCGACACGTGTCGCGCTGTGATTGGCCTCCTAGTTGGAGGGAAACTCTTCTGGGTCCTTGACGGTATAACGTTGACCGGTGCTCAGTAGTTTCGGGATTGGTCAAGTATGGTACAAACAATATTCATATAGGTTTAAGAAGTGTAGCTGTAAAAAAACTCATCAAAATCGGAGTTAAAATAACTGTTAAATCATGATTTTTTGTTTATAACCGTCGAAAAGGTTTGTCCTATTACTTAATATCTAAATGTTTGTTTTTTGCGATTTTTGGCGTATGCAATCTCGAAGCATATACAAACAAGTGCGACGGTTGGATCGTTGAAATTAGTTTCGTACAATGCGTATCCCATCAAAACGATAGATTTACTAACACTTGGAGTTTACTTATACTTTCATTAAGTATAATATAAGATAATGTGGTATTCACTTGTGTAAATGTTTTAAATTGATAATTGAATTAGTTCATAAGCAAAAGGGGGAAAAAAAGAACTTTGCGCGACATAGGTGCACCTGCGTCGCACATTTTTTTTTTTTTCCTTTTGCTTTTCTTTTGGGGTTCTTGCATTGCCTTTTTCTTTTGTGGTATCCACTTGTGTAAATATTTTAAATTGACGATTAAATTAGTTCATTGTATTCATATAGGGTCAATGAATGTGGATGTAAAAAATCATCAAAATCAGAGTTAAAATAACCGTTAAATCATGATTTTTCGTTTATAACCATCGAAAAGTTTTGTCCCGTTACTTGATCTCTGAATGTTTTTTTTTGTTTTTTTGGTCATATGCAATCTCGAAGTATATACAAACAAGTTTGACAGTTGGATCGTAGAGATTAGTTTTGTTGAATGCATATCCCATCAAAACGACAGATTCCCTAATACTTAGAGTTTATTTATACTTTCATTCAGTATAACATAAGATTTTGTGGTATCCACTAGTGTAAATATATTAAATTGAAGATCGAATTAGTTCATTGTATTCATATAGGGTCAAGAAGTGTAGCTCTAAAATATCATCAAAATCGGAGTCAAAGTAACCGTTAAATCGTGATTTTTTCGTTTATAACCGTCGAAAAGTTTTGTCCCCTTACTTGATATCTGAATGTTTGTTTTTTGCAATTTTTGATGCATGCAATCTCAAAGTATATACAAACAAGTTTGATGGTTGGATCGTTGAAATTAGTTTCGTAGAATGCGTATCCCATCAAAACGATAGATTCCCTAACATTTAGGGTGCGTTTGTTGCACCGGACTATCTTGGATTGGACTAGCTTCCGGGACTAAGCTGAATTGGCTTAGACTAGACTAAGCTGGACTGACTTAGTGAAGCGTTTGATGCAGTGACAGACTAAAAGAAGCATAAGTAACAACTATAATATTATCTCTACTAATTAATAAGACCCTCTTTGTCAACCAAAAAAGGGTGAAAAGACAAATTAGTCTTTTATCACACAAAAAAAAATGATGGGCAATAATGTAATTTCACAGGTCCAAATTTTACTTTTTTTATTGAAGCTTCACATACAGGTGATGTTAAAATACCTCCAATATTAAAAAACAAAAAAAAAACAAAAACAAAAACCTCCCACTCCCCCTCATATTCTCCCTCTCTCCTCTCTCCCTCTCTCCCTTTCTCCTTCTCATTTTCTAAAAAAATGTGTTCATACACAAAGTGTTGGCAAATACTAGTATTATTTAATCTAATAATATTTTATTCAATCTTTTTTCATTTTGTCTCTAAACTGTCTAGAACACTCTTTAGTTCCGTCCCCTTTATTAATTCAATAATATTTTAATTTTTTTATTCAATCTCTCTCTAGACTCTCTGTCACATCCCGGCCTCGGCCCCCACCACATCCCGAGCTTGACTTTGCCGTAGCACGATATTGTTTGCTTTGGGCTCTGACCACGCACTCACAATTTTGTATCTGGGAACTCACGTGAGAACTTTCTAGTGGGTCACCCATCATGGGATTGCTCTCGCGCGAACTCGCTTAACTTCGAAGTTCCGATGGAACCCGAAGCCAGTGAGCTCCCAAAAAGCCTCGTGCTAAGTAGAGATGAGAATATACATATATGGCTTACATGATCCACTTCCCTAGACGATGTGGGATGTTACACTCTATCTAGAGAGTTCTTTCTTTTTTTCCTTTAGTTTCGTCCCCATAACACTCATTTTCTCCATCTTTTGTCCTGCAAAATCACAACCTTCAAAATCATTTTTCCTTTGCAAAATTGTCCCCAAAACTACTATCTCCTCCCTCTCCGTCTCTCTATTTCTCTTCGTCCAAAGCTACTTTCTCCCCTTCTCTTTGGAATTTTCTGGGAAAAAGGAAAACTTTATGGGAATTTTTCTATTAGGATTGTTGTTATCGTTTTGCATTTTTTATTTTTTTGAATTTTGGTGTTGAGATTTAGGCAGTGGTGAGGCTGGGTTTCCAATCTGGGAAATGGGTTGGCAAACAGAGTTGCCCAAAAGCATGCTTGCAGACTTGCAGCGTTCATAAACTTGCAGCGTGCGATCGTCTTTGGAGATGGGATTAGCAATCCTATGATTTTTGGGAAGCCAGTGAGAGCTAATCTCATTAAATCTAGGCCGTGTAGGAAACAAACACGGGACTGGACTAACCCTTAGTCTAGTCTAGTCTAGTGAATTTTAGTGAGGGAAAACAAACACCCCCTTAGAGTTTATTTATACTTTCGTTAAATATAACATAAGATTTTGTGGTATCAATTTGTGTAAATATTTTAAATTTATGATCGAATCAGTTCATTGTATTCATATAGGGTCAATGACTGTAGCTATAAAAAATCATCAAAATTGGAGTTAAAATAATCATTAAATCGTGATTTTTCGTTTATAACCAATCAAAATGTTTGTCCCGTTACTTAATAACTAAATGTTTGTTTTTTACGATTTTTGGTGTATACGATCTCGAAGCATATACAAACAAGCTCGACGGTTGGATCGTTGAAACTAGTTTCGTACAATGCGTATCCCATCAAAACAATAGATTCACTAATAATTGGAGTTTACTTATACTTTCATTAAGTATAACATAAGATTTTGTGGTATCCACTTGTGTAAATGTTTTAAATCGATGATCGAATTAGTTCATAAGCAAAAGGGAAAAGAAAAAAAAAACTCTGCGCGACGTAGGTCTTCGTCGCGCAAAGCTGTTTTGAGCGACGTCGTTGCACCTACGTCACACAATGTTATTATTATTTTTTTTCCTTTTGCTTTTCTTTTGGGGTTCCTGCATTGCCTTTTTCTTTTGTGATATCCACTTGTGTAAATGTTTTAAATTGTTGATCAAATTATTTCATTGTATTCATATAGTGTCAAGGAGTGTATTTGTAAAAAATCATCAAAATCGTGATTTTTCGTTTATAACCGTCGAAAAGTTTTGTCCCGTTACTTAATCTCTGGATGTTTTTTTTTTAATTTTTGGTGTATGCAATCTCGAAGTATATACAAACAAATTTGACGGTTGGATCGTTGAAATTAGTTTCGTAGAATGCGTATCCCATCAAAAAGATAAATTCCCTAACATTTAGAGTTTATTTATACTTTCATCAAGTATAACATAAAAATTTGTGGTATCCACTAGTGTAAATATATTAAATTGAAGATCAAATTTGTTCATTGTATTTATATAGGGTCAAGGAGTGTAGTTGTAAAAAATTATCAAAATCGGAGTTAAAATAACCGTTAAATGGTGATTTTTCGTTTATAACCGTCGAAAAGTTTTGTCCCATTACTTGATCTCTGAATGTTTTTTTTTTTTGCGATTTTTGGCGTATGCAATCTCGAAGTATATACAAACAAGTTTGACGGTTGGATCATTGAAATTAGTTTCGTAAAATGCGTTTCCCATTAAGTTCAATGATATATATATTTACCAAGTAGATTTTAATTAATTTATTTTGTACTTATGACACTTAAGAAATTGAATGATATATATGTAAAAAAAAATTATTGTGGGTTTTTGTTAGAAAAATATATTATTGTGGGGTTTACCGTTTATGTAAAAAAAAAAAATTGAATTGTAAATGAGTAAAGTCATATTTTCAATAATTTTTATAATAATTTTTTTTATAAAAAAAAACCTTGTGCGACGTCTTAATGTGAGCGTCCGCAAAATCACTTTGCGTGACGTCAAATTAGATACCTACTTTGCGCCATTAGTGATAATTTTGACGGTGCAATAGTGGAAAATAGGCGCTTTTTTTTCAATTTTCCAAGTTTGCGTGACCTCTCTCTTCCGTCTCGCTCATACCTCCAAAATCCTCTTCCCTTCCTCTTTCCAACCTCAAGTTACTTTCTCCAAATTCGTAGCCGAATTTTCTCAATTTCAGATCTAAGAAACGGTGACCGTGGGTATTCCGGGCAATTTCCGACGAAGTCTGCTAGAATTGGACCTCAACCAAGAGGTAAAAATGATCATCTCCTCGTGGCTGTTCCCTAGTGTAAGTGCTTTCTCAAAATAAAAACTTTCAGTTTTTGGATCGATTCTAGATTTCGAATTTTAATTCCATTTTCTGTATGCATGTTGAAGATTGGGGACGAGGAAGGTGAATCAAGGTTGTTTCCAACCTGGGCCGAGAAGAATGGAAGCCTTGGAAGGTGCTCGCCGCGTCGGGGGTTATGGCCGCAACTGCCTTAACCAATGTTGCATTCCAGGTATTTGTTTAAATGTCCTCCACTTTGAATTTGAATTTTTGTGCTTTATCTTTTACGTACTTGAATTGGTGTTTTGCAAAACAAACCTCCCTATGTGATATGTTGTCAAGAAATTGCTTCAATTGCTTCATTTGTTGATTTCGTGTTTTTCGACGGGTTCGGGCGTTATTTCTTATCTGGGTATTTGTCAGTTACTCGATCTATACGGGTTGGAGTAGGAGCGAAGCTTCTTTCTTTTTTTCTTTTTTTTTTTTGGATTTGAAGAAAATGATTTTATGTTTATGACTGGGTTGTGTACCGTTTTCAGTTTGCGTAGGTGCACAGCTTCCATTGTATTTCTTCAAGAAGCTGAACATGAATGATGGTGACACGGGCTTGCTCGGACATGAGAAAAGAGAGCCTCCCATTAAGGAGTTAAATTGATATACAGGAGATGAAGAAAGAATCACCAGCTTTGTTTGTTTCCTTTTGTAGTTAACAATTATTATGGAATAAAATTGTTTACCACTCCATGGTACAGTGGGAAGATCGCATGCAGAGAGGGCTATTTCGCTATGATCTCACTGCTTGTGAAACCAAGGTGGATTCACTTACTGTTTCCTCAATTTTGTAGTTTCTGTAAACGGGAATTGGAATTCAAGCTTAGGAACAATGTGTATGTATATGTACTACTTATTTGGGATATGGGTACCAATTTCTTTGATAATTTGGTGTAGGTGATCCCAGGGCAATTTGGTTTCATAGCCCAGCTGAATGAGGGCGCCATCTTAAGAAGAGGCCAACGGAGTTTCGAGTTGATAAGGTTCTCCAGCCCTTTGATGGCAACAAGTTTAACTTCACTAAAGTTGAACAAGAGGAGGTTCTATTCCAGTTTGAAGCCAGCGAAGATGGTGAAGCTCAATGAGTATTCCTTGCATATTTTTCTGTTTAACTGGACTCTAGCGTTTTCTTTTTTTTCGTGAAAATTGGACTAGTGTTAGTTGTAGGAAAACAACATTCTTTCTTTTTTTTTCCTACCCAAATTGTAGAGCAATGCATGTCCAAGCTCCACAACACAAACCTTATAATTCTGAGAAAGTTCAAGGCCATCATCAACAATTCATATGTCTTTCTGTCAAAATTATTTATGCATGTCTTGCATTACGGTTTCAAAACCTGCAGCAGCCCGCATTCAATTTTTCTAGTTGATTATAAATTTGTAGTCTATTTGTTAACGGTCATTGTTACCAACATTTGTGCAAAATTGTATAAGAGATCAGTTATCTACTCGCAAGTATATCACTTGTGAAATGTTGAGACTCATAAATCTATTTGCTGAAAAATTGATCTACTTGCCACATCAGTTTTTCGTGTGGAATGTTAGAGACTCATACTCACAAGTATATGCTTTTTATGCAGGTGGTAGGAAACAATAAAACTGTAAAGGCATACTTTTGTGTATATTTTAGTCATTTGATCCATGTGCTTATGTGTTTGCAGGTAGAGATAGCAATTATTGAGGCGCAAGCATTACGAGGAGCATTTTACTCTTAAAAAACATGTTCGGAGTTGTTCAAGAAAATGTGAAGTCTTGTAAGTGGCAATGTCCTTCAAATTTGGTGTCTTTTTTCACACATGGTTTATTTGTTCAGTTTTCTTTGCTTTTTTATTCTAGTTTCAAATGCAAGAAGGGATCAGTTTTCTTTGCCGTGAAGGTTTGCGCGACGAAGAAGTAACCTACGTCGCGCAAGCCTTGCTGTCACTGCCTTGGCGTGACGGTTGACGTGTGATGTTTTTTGACTTTACGTGATGAAGGACCTACGTTGCACAAAGTGTTTTTTGTACTAATGATGGTCAGTTTTGTGTCTACAACAGTTATATAGCAATGTTAGTGCATTACTTCGATCGTTATAATAATGGCATGTAGAAGAAAACTTACTCCTCACTAGCAAGACGGGCGACTTGATTCTCGCAAGCTACAACAGTTATGATTGACCACACAGGGATATTAGCCATTGCAGTCTTCATACTAGGTACATCCGATGGACAATTATTACGAAGGGGATTTTCCGTGGCGCAACGATGAACTTTACCACTTTTAATGTGCCCATCATCAAGCTGTCTAGCTGAATAATTGCTTCTTGACGTTTTTTCAGGTTTGTAGGTTTCGAATTAGGGTCGGGTACTTCTTTAAGGATTGCCACTGACTTGCCAAGTTGGTAAGATTCTTTATATTCCAAAGCAAAATCCGCTAGCACCAATAATGCCTTCAATGCCCACGAATACTTTGATAGATTTCCAAGTGTTTCTAACGTTCTTGATTCGACGGCAATTTCATCACTTGATCCCTCGTATGATATCTAAAGAGTATACCTCGTTAATTAGCTTTCCCACTGTTCATAATACATTGTTTAATTCATTTTCATTTAGGATAATTGGGGATTGGGGTGTGCCATCCACACACCTCTTTTTACTTCTCACATACTTCTTGTTAATTTATGTCCATTGATCATCTTCAATTCATCTAATCTAAAGGCTGAAAATTAAAAAGGTATGTGAGAAGTAAAAAGAAGTATGTGGTTATCACATCCCTAGGGGATTTACCACGAAGATGTAAAGAGTAAATCATAAACATATTATTTTCTTGAGATAAGAAAAATCATCTTCCAGACATATGAAACAAAATGTCGTTAGACAATGATGATGATCCTGAAGATATGTCTAACGAGTTCGATAAGTTAGAGAATTTATAAGGGCTCATTTGGATGTGCTTTTAAAATGATTGAAAGTGCTTTTAGAGAAAATGTTTTTGGGTTCCAAAAGCACTTTAAGTGCTTTTTCAGGATTTTCCAAAAGCACTTAAAGTGCTTTTTCAGGATTTATTAGCATTTTCACCAAGGAATGTTTCCTAAAAGATTTTCACCAAAAGTGCTCTAAATCATTTTAAAAGTACATCAAAACGAATTCTAAATAAAAAGCTTACGATATGTATCTGATTCTGACTCTAAAAAACAAAGATATATGTTATGCAATCAATGACAATAATTAGAGAAATAACATAAATTGTAATGCAATTTAATGACCTTGCCACGATTTGCTGAAGTGGAGCTAGAGGACTTAATATCACTTGGCTGTATGCCCTGAACAAGTCATTCACAAGTAATCTTTATAAAAAGAAAACAGAAATACTATAGTGTATATCAATGTGTAACATATTGCTAAATTTAATCATTAGAGTTGCGTTCAAGAATCTAAGAGAATTTAACGGATCGATGCATAATCTTATTGTAAACGTTTATTCTAAAAAACAAGTTTGATAAGTTAATAAATTGACAATAATAATTATCTTAGCTAGTAGTTAGCGTCATACCCGCAAAATATCAGAAATAACCTCGTTTGACCGCACGATGATGTCTTTAGTGGTGGACAAAAGAGAAGAAATGTCAGAGCTGGTATGTTCCTGAGGATGATCGGGAACATGAGTTGCAGAAATCAGGTCTGATGAGTCAATATTATATCATATATTTTACTCTATTCTTAGTATAATTTGCTAATTATTTTGGTAGAATTTTGATACTTCGCTTTATATTTTTAATGTATGACGTTCGACTTCCTCTGGAGAAAAACGTGACCAAACGGACGAATTTTGGGGTGTATCAAATTGGGGGATGTTCGTGTGTCTCTTGACCTATTTGTATCAAAATTTGGGATTTTTCTACTAAACGGTTATTTTCTGACAATTTATTAAAGAAGTAGTGCGAGTTGCTGAAAAGTGATATTTCTGAGCTTAAACTGCGTTTTTGGAGCCCAAGATGATCTCAGATGGGTTCATGGCCTTTTGGAGAAGTGTTCAGAATAGTTCAAGCTTTAAACTCAACTATTTTAGGCTAGTTTTGGAGCTGATTTGGGTCCAAAACGTGCTTGTGCAAATTTTTGGGCGAATTTACCAAGTTAATTTAGGATTATGTTTTCTATTTTATTTCAATTTATTAGGTTTCCTAGTTTTATTATAAGACATTTTACTAGGAGGATTTAATTAGAGTAGTATAAATAAGGCTTGTTAGCCATTAGGGTTTACTACGCAACATTGAGGAGGGGAACGAATGTGGAGAATTTAGCTAGGCTTTGACGCTTTGTATTTTCAAGGTGTTTTCTATCATTTTTCTATTTCAATAAAATTCCTTTTGTTTTATGATTGTTTGTAACTAATTTTCGTTTGCTAGGGCGATACCTTGAGCCTTAGCATGAATATGTAGTATTTATTTAATTGCTTATGATATTATGCATGTTTACTTTGAATTATTAATTATTGTGCTTTAAACTGTCTCCATATCTTAATGCTTAGCTACCATTATGATGTTTAGATAAGTAATCGGATGCAATTCGGTTGGAATACCACATGGGGATTGAGTATTGCTTCTTGTGATTGATAGTTGTAATTTCACCTAGGGTGAATACCACATCTTAGGGGTTGCATGGTTTTTCAAAAGGTTTTCACAAAACATAATGAGTCATGCATGTTTATATTTAATCTGAATACTACAGATGGATTGCATGTTTGATATACGTTTTAGCTTTAATACTACGAGTAGAATATGCATTAGGAAAAGATAACCTTCAAAGTTGCATGGGTAATTCATAAGTAATTAGTAAAATTGCATAGAATTGTTAAGGGGCCGGCGGAACTCTAGGCTTTTACAATTTGGTTTTCAAAACTATTTTCTTTTGTTTTATTTACCTTGCTAGTTTCTTTAATTGTTTTAATTTAAAAATCGTTTTTAATATTTTAGGTTATAAAATCACCTTTTTCCAAACTTCGTTTTCAAATAGTTAATTAAGAATTAGTTTAAATACAAATTATTCATTCAATCCCTGTGGAAAACGACCTTACTTGAGCTGCTATACTACGACAACATTGTACTCTTGCAAGTATTTTTAAGTGTTTTTATCCCTACTTTTGCAGGTGGTAAGAATCTCTATCAAGAAATTGGCGCTGTCGCCGGGGATTGTTTTAAATAATTTGTGTTTATCATATTCTTAGTTAATTATTTTTGTATATAACTTTTTATTTACTTGATTTTTTTTAGGTTACAATTTGTGCAACAATGGAATTTGTTCCTCCTCTTGGATTCAATATACAATTACGAGGACCGCTCTTATGGGTTAACTCTGCAGAATGGAGGTTTTATGGATTTAAACCTACAGTTTGTGCACTTTGCTGTTTGAAGACCCATGATATTTTACAGTGTCTTGAGAGGGAATATTTTCTAGGGTTTGTCCAAGAGCATATCAATATGAGAAACGACTCAAAAAGAAATTGAAAATTCAGAGTTTTACACCTCAAGCTTGCAAAGGCATCTTGAGCACTATTTTGAGCAGTTTAATGTGCCACATGAGCTTCCGGTAGAGGACAAACTCTCTAATTTGTTGGAATCAACTGAGTTGTACATTAAAATAACCAATCAAGGATTTCTGATTCAAGCATTAAACTGTGGGACAAGCTATGATGATCGAGAGGTTGGTGTAGGAATTGAGGAGCCATCTGCTTGTTCTTCACGCCCAAGGAAGGAAACAACACATGCTGATCCTAAAATCCTCCCAGAACCATTTGCTACCCATGCTTATATGCCACACGAACTTTTCCCACAATGTTTGCTTTGGCTGGATCAAGAGGCTACAAAGAAACAAACCAAGATGCTGGAATTCATCATAACTAATGTGTTGCAAGGACCAGTTCACAACAAATCATTATCTGGAAAATCACATGGTCGGCACTTGGAGACTGTAACCTTGGATACACGACAAACAGCTATTGATGAAAATGTTTTAGCTGCTTTCACAGACACTGCACCTGCACAACCTATTAAACCCAAGGAAATTCATGAAAAATCCTACAAGCAGGCTAAATCCTACATGGGAATGAAGAAGAAGCTTAATGTCAACCCAATTCTTCGTCATGAAATTCTTCCAGTGCAGAAATTGTGGGTATTAAATACTAGATTTAAGTCAATTCAAGGGAGACACAAGCCTCACTGGAAGGGAATTTATTTGGTTTCAAAGACTAAATCACACAAAAGGGTGGAGAAGAAAGATTCAACCAATGAATTCAAATGCACAGTTCAAGTCAATCCCCACCTACTATTGATCTATGATGCTATCAAGAAGTGGCTAACTTTAAGAGAACACGTAACGTGATCACAAACCTCATTCCAATCCGTCTAGTTATAGACGTTAACTAAAGCACTAATTGAGAGGCAACCCAATTTTTCTAATTCTTTTTAGTTCGTTTATTTTATTTTCCTGTTTTTTTATTCTTAATTACAAAAATCACAAAAAAAAAAAGGAAAATTGAAAGAAAAAAAAAATTGCAATTTTTAATTCTAGTTATTTTTCTTTACTTATCTAATTAGGTTTTTTTTTTTGTTTTAATTTGTGATTGCATGTTGCATTTGGAACTGATTCGGTATAATCTCAACTATTCGTGGATTCATAGCATTCATATTCACCTCAGTATGCATTAAACTATCCATTCATCACAGCTTTGCATTCAACATCAACATTACGGTGTAGAAATTTAAAAGGAAAGCCAACCGGAGTTTGAGAAACGTTATAGTGGGTTTGCAAAGAAGACTTTGTACTACTTGGACCCACTCCACTCATTCGCTCTCACATTTCAATAATAAAAAAAACTACAATACAAGTTTGGGGGTGAACCAAGTAGCACATAGGAGACTAGTACTTAAGCTAAGTTCAGATCCAGATTTTTTGCACGAATTTTCCTCGGCATTCATCATCAGGAGACATGCACAACAAAATGACCATTATGAGCATGCAGAGATCATATTCCTACATGGGCGCACGAATACACAAAGACACAGATTAACATAATCTATTCATCCAAATCGTGGTTGAAAATTTATACCTTTCGTTCAACTTTAAGATCTGCGATTTGGGTTGTTTCCTGATGTGGATCCGAGAGTCCTGCACACGATATACATATGCATGAGATTACACTAATTGTTGTACTGAGATGGGATTGATCTGGTAGTTGAGCAAGGAGGCGAGTTGGTTTCAAGTTTGGGGGTTGCAAGATGTACTTCGAATATGAGCTATGGTTTTGGAGGCACGGCTAGGGAGCAGCGGTTTTGTGTTAGGGTTTGAGAGAAATGAAGAGAGAGGAAGAGAGCTCTCATGGCTCTAGGCTCTGTTATAGTATGAAGAATGAATGATGAGGATTAGGCCACGTGTCAGTAATTGGAAGGATAGATTACACTAGGCAGTTATAAAGGTTGTTAGGCTTAGTTGTAATGAAGAATGTTGTAATAGAAGGATAAGGTTGTTGTAACAAGATAAAGAAGCATATATGTGTAAGATTGAACACAAAAAGATATAATCAATGATTTTCTATGTATCTTCTTTCTATCTTCTCTCTCTAATTTCTTCTCTCTCTGTTTTCTATATTCTTGAGTTCTTCACTATGCTTAACATGGTATCACTCGCCCGTATAGCTTAGATTTAAGCTTCTTCGATCTTGCGATCTGTCTGCTTCCGCTTCTCATCAAGATTTCAAGTTTTTTTGGCTGGTTTCTTTCTGATTTTTCTGGGCATTTCTTACCAGCTTCTTGGTATTCTTCATCTTCTATTTTTCTTGCACACCAAGTGTTTGACGTTTGTTCTCAAAGAGAAATTTCTTACAAT